TTCGGCGGAGCTCCGTATGGGGCCACGAAACGTGTGACGGGTGTGCCGAAATGGGTGTGCGGGACGCATGCGGGCGGCAGCACTGGGGCCTTCGGCGGAGCTCCCTATGGGGCCACGAAACGTGTGAGGGGTGTGCCGAATTGGGTGTGCGTGACGCATGCGGGCGGCAGCACTGGGGCCTTCGGCGGAGCTCCCTATGGGGCCACGAAACGTGTGAGGGGTGTGCCGAATTGGGTGTGCGTGACGCATGCGGGCGGCAGCACTGGGGCCTTCGGCGGAGCTCCCTATGGGGCCACGAAACGTGTGAGGGGTGTGCCGAATGGGTGTGCGTGACGCATGCGGGCGGCAGCACTGGGGCCTTCGGCGGAGCTCCCTATGGGGCCACGAAACGTGTGAGGGGTGTGCCGAATTGGGTGTGCGGGACGCATGCGGGCGGCAGCACTGGAGCCGTCGGTGGAGCTCCCTATGGAGCCACGAAGCGTGTGAGGGGTGTGCCGAAATGGGTGTGCGGGACGCATGCGGACGGCAGCACTGGAGCCCTCGGTGGAGCTCCCTATGGGGCCACGAAACGTGTGAGGGGTGTGCCGAAATGGGTGTGCGGGACGCATGCGGACGGCAGCACTGGAGCCTTCGGTGGAGCTCCCCATGGGGCCACGAAACGTGTGAGGGGTGTCCCGAAATGGGCGTGCGGGACGCATGCGGACGGCAACACTGGGGCCTTCGGTGGAGCTCCCTATGGGGCTACGAAACGTGTGAGGGGTGCGCCGTGAGCAGAGGCAACGAGGGAGAGGAGGGCGGAGGGAGGAGGCAGCGGGAGGAAGAAGGAGACGCGGGGCACTGTCTCTTCAAAACGAGGACCCAACACCACAGGATGGTTGGGAAACACTATATACGTTTTGCGAAAGAGGTGAGCCAATGTTTGCGTCTAGGGACCCTCTTGGGACGCACCTTGGAGGCCTCTTGGGGGCGTCTTGGGCCATCTGGGGGCCATCTCGGGTGTCTTTGACCGCTCTTGGACCGTCTGGGACCATGTGGAACTCTCTTGGAAGCAAGTTGGAGCGTTCTTGGAGCGCTCTTGGGGCCGTCTTCAGGGCTCTCTTGGGCGGTCTTTGGCGTCTCTGGAGCCGTCTTGGGCCCCTCTTGGGCTGTCTTGGGGCCCTCTTGGAGGCTTCTTAGACCGTCTTAGGGCGGTCTTGGAGGCCTCTGGGGCCGTCTGGGAGCGTCGGAAAGCCCAAAAGGCGAATTTGTGAAACATCTACGTTTCACAAAGGAAACGGGCAAATTGTTGTTGTTAGAGGCCCTCTTGGGACGTATCTTGGATGCCTCTTGGGGCCTCTTGGGGCCTCTTGGGGGCATCTTGGACCGCTGGAGGCCATCTTCGGTGTCTTTGATCGCTCTTGGACCGTCTGGGACCATATTGAGCTCTCTGGGAGGCGACTTGGAGCGCTCCTGGAGCCCTCTTGGGGCCGTGTTCGGGGCCCTCTTGGGCCGTCTTGGACGCCTCTTGGGCTGTCTTGGCCGTCTTGGGGCGGTATTGGGGTCCTCTTGGGCCGTCTGAGAGCATCGGACAGCCCAGAAGGCGAATGTATAAAATTGTATGTCTTACGAAGGGAATGGGCAGATTTTTGCGTCTAGGGACCCTCTTGGGACGCATCTTGGAGGCCTCTTGGGGCCTCTTGGGGGCCTCTTGGGCCGTCTTGGAGGCCTCTGAGCCCATCTTTGGGCCAGCTAGGGCGTCTTGGAGCGCTCGTTTAGCGTCTCGGGGCCCTCGTGGGCCGTTTTGGAGGCCTCTTGGGGTTTTCTAGGCACGTCTTGAGGCCCTCTTGGGACGTACCTCCGCTGGGCACCCCAGGGGCCCACGAAAGCGGCGACAGTTGCGCAGATCGCAAGCCCACCAAGGGGCGCAGAGGTCCCGAGGTGGTCCGCGTAGGACGTACCTCCGCTGGGCCTCCCAGGAGCCCACGAAAGTGGCGACAGTTGCGCAGATCGCAGCCCGACGGCACGAGAGAAGAGGAGAGGGGAACACAGGAAACAGGAGAGGAGGAGAGGAGGAGGGGGGAGGAGAAGAAGGAGGACGGGGCGACCACACTGCTCCATTCAAAACGAGTACCCAACCATGGGAGGGTTGGGCAAACACATTACGCAGGAAGCACTACGCAGGAAACGCTACGCAGGAACAACTACGCAGGAACCACCACGCAGAAACACTACGCAGGAAATCTGTCGCAGAAGCCACTTCGCAGAATCCACTAAGCAGGAAACACTACGCAGAAAACACTTCGCAGAACACATTGCGTAGGACACACTACGCAGAACACGCTGCGCAGGAAGCATTGCGCAGGAAATTCGGTGCAGGAAACATTGCGCAGGTAACATTGCGTAGGAAACATTGCGTAGGACATACTGCGTAGGAATGACTGCGCAAGAAACATTGCGGATGATACATTACACTGCGTAGAAAACGCTGCGTAGGAAACATTGCGTAGGAAACACTGTGAAGGAAACATTGTGTGGGAAGCACTGCGCGCAGGAAGCATTGCGGAGGAAACATTGCATGGGAAATGCTGCGTAGGAGACACTGCGCGTAGGAAACACTACACAGGAAACACGACGCAGGAAACGCTACGTAGAGTACGTTCAAAAACGCTGCGCAGAAAAAGCACGACGGTAAATCAACACTACGGACAACAAACCTACGTAAAACACCCTGCGCAACCACAAACAATGCGTACAAAAAGCACAGCGTTGAAACAGAACTGGATAAAACATCACTGCGCAGGAAACACTATGCGGGAAAGAATGCACAGGAAAAACACGCAGGAAACACGATCCAAGAAACCACACGTAAACAGAAAGCCGCGTTACAAACATCGCGTAAACAAAAACATTGTGTACAAAAGACATGGCGTGCTTTTCGCCGCGTGAAAAAAAGACACCGCGTAAAAAGCACAGCGCACACAAGAAAGCATCACGCCGGACACATTGCGCAGGAAACACCACGCCGGAAACACAACGCAGGAAACACTACGCAGGCAGGAAACACAACGTAACAAATGCTGCGTGGAAGAAAGTACTGCGTAACAAACATTGCGCAAAACACATTGCGCACAAAAACATTGCACACGAAAAAAAAACGACGCAGGACAAACAACGCAGGAAACACTACGCAGGAAACGCCACGCAGGAAACGCTACGCAGGAAATACTACGAAGAACATTCTTACGCAGGAACCACTACGCAGAAAACGCTACGCAGGAAGCATTACGCAGGAAGTGCGAAGCAGAAAACACTACGCAGAAAACGCGACGCAGGAAGCACTACGTAAAAAACATTGCGTCAAGAAGCGTTGTGAAGGAAACACAGCGATTCCCACGCCCGTGCGTTGTCGACACTGCGCTATTGACACTACGTTGTTGGCACTAAGCTGTTGACACGACGCTGTTGACACTACGCGGTTGACAGTACGCTGTTGGCACTACGTTGCCGCCACTACGCGGTTGACACTACGCAGGAAACACTACGTAAAAACATTGCGTCAAGAAACGCTGCGAAGGAAACACTGCGTTTCCCACGCCCGTCCATTGTCGACACTGCGCTATTGACACCACATTGTTGCCACTACGCTGTTGACACTATGTTGCTGACATTATGTTGTTGACACTACGTCTCGGAGCCTTGGCAAAGTCGCGCGGAACTCCTCTTGCTTGTCAACAGGAACAGCATAGTCCGATTCTAGCAGAACTGCTGGCGCCTCCTCCAGCAAAAGCGATAGCGCGAGCTCCTGTGCTGGTAATCGAACCCCTGGAGCCCGACAAGCAGGCTCGTCGGTGCGCCATCTGCCAAAAGCGGCACTACGTCGATTGGCGAGACGCTGTGCCTCTTCAGCGTGAAGTTGTTCGGCTTCTTCCCAAGAACAGAGTGATGCCCCCCGCCTGCAGAGGCACACAAGGTAGTACCTGGGGGAAATGGGGGAAACCCGACGTAGGAGTATGGATCAGCATAGATCAATTGGGGAAGTCATGCCGTAGGGGGTGGACCACCGAATGCGGTGAAACCTCAGCGATGCGTACTTGCCCGGACAGCCCGTTGACAACAAAATGTCCCACAGCACATTGAGGCGAATCGAAATCAAGATGCGAGGTTAAGCCAGAACGATGAGCGAAATGTTGGCAGCAACTGTAGCACGTGTGGGAGGTCCCGTGGATACGACGTAGCATATTGACCCTGGTGTGATGTAGCCGAAGAACATGAGTACGAAGGCCACGAGCCTTGTCCAAGGACGCTGAACACAAAACAATTGCACTGCCAGACCTGGGCCTCCACAGCCTCTCGCTGACGCCGAGGATGAGATAAACTGCCCCATGCGTGTGGGACTCCAGCTGCATTCAGCACTTCAAAAATATCTCGCTCAGCCGCCTGCGCAAGTACATTTCTTTGAAGGTCCCTGACGGGTGTGGGCCTCCAGCCCAGTTCTGACCGTGCTCTTCCACGCTGTAGGCGAGCGCCTGGCCATTTGTTCCCATGCGTGTAAGTCTTGTTCTGGCGGAGGTAGCTGCTCTAGATACCTCAGATGTTGTTGGAGCCATTGGAGATCTCCGAAAACCATGTGAGCCCAGGACTCCGAACACTCCCTGAGACGAGCCCCAACCAGCGCCAACATGTGGGGAGTGGCAAGCGAAGCCTGAGGAGGGGGAGGAGGAGAGGAGAGGAGGGGAGGAGGAGACGCACGGCGGTGAGGATTCAAAACGAGCACCCAAAACACGGCAGGGTTGGGAATCAGTCCGAGAGAATTGTTTTGCATCGTCTGAAAACCGGTGGAAAATTCCTCGTTCTCGCTTCCCCTCCTCCTCGTCCTCCTCTTCCTGGTCCTCGTTCTCTCTCCTCCTCTTTCTATCCTCCTCCTCCTCTTTCTATCCTCCTCCTCCTCCTCCTCCTCCTCCTCGTCCCCTCGCCTCCTGTCAGCTGGAGGGCCATGCGCGGCCCAATAGACGCGTCGCCAGGACACGCAGGAGGAGGTCTGCAGGCTCGCGAAGAAGTGCCCCGCCCCCGTCCGCAGCCTCGACCCTCCGCTGCCCCTGCCCACTGCCGCGGCTCCTGCTCCTCATCCCTCCTGTCCTCCTACCCCGGGCGACGAAATCTACACATAGCCACTGCCCCCTGGCCAGGCCCTTCCTGGGCCCAGGAGCTGTGTATACGCCCTCCTGGCCAAGCCAGGAGGGCGTAGCGTATACACCGCTGCTAGGTGCAGGGTGGGGTTGGTCAGGGAGTTGTGGATATATATATATATATATATATATACACATAGAGATCTCGTCACCTTGCTACCCCCCTCCTCGTCCTCCTCGGTTGGCACTGACGCTCAGCAACGTTTGCGTCTGTAGCCTGTCGCGTCGCCAGATCTGGCCCACCACGCCTCGGCGCGACGCGCTAAGCACGTCCCATTCCCCAAGTGTCAACGTCTTGAGCTTTTGCCAGCCTCCCGCCATGCGAAGCGGAGCGGCACGCTGCCAGCTTGCACGGGATAGCGTGTCGCCAGGGCCGCCGCGACTCGCTAAGCGAAAGCGCCCGACCGCACCCGTGCAAGGTACAAGCTGGACGAGGGCGCGGCCTCCAACCTCCTGAAGGCGATGGAGGCACGCGGCGCCCCGAGCCCTCGGATCTTGGCCCGCGCTCCAGGCCGTCGTCGCGCGGCGGCGGCGCTGCACAAGGCGACGGCATGCGATGCCCACGGTGAGCGACGACGAGGACGTCCTCCTTTCGGAGGTCGCCACGGCTGCACCCAGCTCGAAAAAATAGCCAGGATGGACCCTGAGGGATGCTAGGGGGCCGTCCCAACCCCGACCGGAACGGGGTAGGGTAGCTTTCCTAGCGTGACCCCTCAAGGTGGAGATGGGTGCTGCGGCACGTGGATTACGGCATCTACCTCCACCTAGGGGGGAGGTCGACCAGCGGGGCTAAGGTTTCCTTTGTGGGGTTGGGGATGGCTTTTCTTGTCAAGATTGTGTCAGGCGTCACCGCACCGTTTGGGGACCCCCAGAGATTGTTGTCGAGGACGAGGCCTCCATTCCGCCCTCTCCTCGCTGTCCCGAGCCGCTAGACTCCAGCCTGCACCACGGGCTCTCAGGTGGACGAGCCCTGAAACTTGGTTGCCACGGCTGAGCGGGGGCACTGCTAGATCCAGGGGTGGAAACGAAGTGGGGAGAACGATTCGAACCATGGACTTGTTTGACCCCCTCTGGGCCGATGTGAGGCCAGCCTGCTCGTTGAACTGGCTGTCGCTCCAGCAAGCCGCAGCTGCTCTTCCCATCCCTCCTGTATGCCACCCTGCCCCCGCACGCACTTCACTGACTCGTCTCCTCCGCTTCCTGCCGTCTCCCTCCGTCCCACCCCTCCCGACCCTTGCCTGGTTCACCTAGCCTCCCCCTCCACAGCATTCCTTGATCCTCGCGAGGTGGAGAGGGGAAGGGGGAGATTATGGTGATGACGACGACGACGATGGGGATGGCGATGACGATGACGATGTTCGTTTTTTGAAGTTTAATGTCAGACGAGGGGGGGAGAGGCCGAATGCTTGCTTTTGTATTCACAGCCTTCGGCTCTCGAGCTAGTGCCGCGGGTGACCCGGCGGTGCATGACTGGGTTGGGCCTCCTGGAGAGCTTGATGGGGCCAGTGGAATCTTTCGGGTATCTGAGAGCCTTTGAGAGTTCCTGAGAATCCCGAGAGATTCTGAGAGATTCTGAGAGTTTCTTGTAAATGCTGAGAGATTCTGAGGGATCTTGAAAATTCTGAGAGAGTCTGAGAGATTCTGATAGATTCTGAAAGATTCTGAAACTCTCTGAGAACTTCAGAGAGATTCTGAAAACTTCTGAGAGATTCTGCAAGATCCTGATAGGTTATGAGAGATTCTGATTCGGAGAGATCCTGGAGATCTTGAGAGATTTTGAGAGATTCTGATAGATCCTGAGAGATGAGGGACAGGAATCTTCAGCCCACCCCATAGGATTTCATGAGGGAACCCATGGGAAACCTTTTTGGGGTCTTGAGGAATCCCGTGAGATCCGTAATCCTTAGGATCCATAGGAATCCCAAACAATCCCTGGGAATCGGGGGGTCTGTCTGGGAATCATTGGGGGTCCTTATGGGACCCCTGAGAATCTTCAGGGGTTTTGGCGAATCCATGGGAATTGTTTCATCCATGCTGGCGAATCCCAAGGTACCTTGGAGACCCCGAGGAATCCTTAGGGATCTTTATCATTGCGACTGATACTACTACTACTACTACTACTACTACTACTACTACTACTACTACTACTACTACTACTACTACTACTACTACTACTACTACACTACTACTACTACTACTACTACTACTACTACTACTACTACTACTACTACTACTACTACTACTACTACTACTACTACTACTACTACTACTAACTACTACTACCTACTACTACTACTACTACTACTACTACTACAGAAAGTAATACCAATCAAAATATATATGAACTACTGCTACTAATACTCCACTGCACTACTGACTACTACTACTACTACTACTACTACTACTACTACTACTACTACTACTACTACTACTACTACTACTACTACTACTACTACTACCACTACTACTACTACTACTTACTACTACTACTACTACTACTACTACTACTACTACTACTACTACTACCACTACTACTACCACTACTCACTACCACTACTACTACTACTACTACTACTACTACTACTACTACTACTACTACGGCTACGACTCCGATTACTACTACTACTACTACTACTACTACTACTACTACTACGACTACTATTGCTACTACTACGACTACTACCACTACTACTACTACTACTACTACTACTACTACTACTACTACTACTAATACTACTACTACTACTGCTACCACTACGTCTTCTTCTTGTCATCACAATCAACAACATTAGCAGCATCGCCACCATCACCCTTAGCATCATCAGCATCATCAGCAACATCAGCATCATCATCAGCATCATCATCGTCATCATCATCAGCAATCATCATCGTCATCATCATCAGCAGGATCAGCATCATCATCAGCAGCAGCATCATCAACACCGTGATGATCATCATCATCAGCATCATCATCATCCGCATCATCATCAGCATCAGCATCATCATCGTCTCCACCACCACCAACATCATCATCATCAGCCGCATTATCATCATCACCATCATCATCATGATCACCATCACCATCACAATCATCAACACCATAATCATCATCACCACCACATTCATAATAAATATCATCAAGCATCAGCATCAGCATCTCCGCATCAGCATCAGCATCATCATCATCGTCGGCAGCAGCAGCATCAGCATCAGTATCATCATCATCACCACCACCACCACCACCATCATCATCATCATCATGAGAAGCAGCATCAGCATCAGTATCAGCATCATAATCAGCATCAGCATCAGCATCTTCTTCAGCATCGACATCATCAGCCGCAGCACCATCATCATCGACATCATCACCAGCATCATCATCATCAGTATCGTCATCATAATCAGCATGAACATCGGCATCCTCATCATCATCATCATCATCATCATCCGGGAACATCATCATCATCATCATCATCATCATCATCATCATCATCGTTGTCGAACTCGTCGTCTTCGTCGTCATCATCCTCGTCATCATCATCGTCAGCATCATCACCATCATCATCATCATCGTGAGTATCGTCATCATCATCGTCATCATCACCATGACCAACATAATCAATATCAGCATTGGCATCCTCATCATCATCGTCGAAGTCGGATCATCGTCATCATCACTATCATCATCACCACCATCATCATCATCATAATCATCATGAGCATCATCAGCATAATCATCACCATCAGCATTGTCATGTGCATATTCATCTGCTTCATCATCATCAGCAGCAGCATCCTCATAATCGTCATCACAATCGGTTTCACCATCGTCACCACCATCATATTCATATAGCAGCAGTACAATCCGTAACATCAGCACCACGACCACGATCACCACAATCACCATCAGCAACAATCATTATCATCATCGTCATCATCACCATCACCATCACCATCATCATCACCATCACCATCACCATCACCATCACCGTCGTCGGCGGTGGCGTCGGCGTCGGCGTCATCAGAATCGGCGCCGTCGTCGACGTCCCCACCATCGTCATGATCATTACCACAACCATCACCATCATCACCATCAGCACCACCATCAGCATCAGCATTACCCCCTCGTCGTTTGAGCTCATGCCCTCAGTCCCTCCCGTAGAGAGAGAGAGAGAGAGAGTCCTCGTTCTTCAGCTCCGCGATCCGTGCGGCCAGGGGCTTGTACGAGGTCGCCCACCTCAGAGACACCCCCTCCCCCCAGGACCAACCAATCTCGCTCCGGGCTTGGGGCCCGCAGTTCGACCTCGAGCGGAAGGGGGGGGGGAGGGGGGGAAGGAGGGAGGAGGTTCGAGGGTGTGCGGCCCTTGCGGAGGAGGGAGGAGGCTCGGGGGTGGAGGGGGGAGTGCGGGAGACCAGCTCCTCTCTGTCGCGAAGCTGTGGGACGTCGCCAGTCAGGCATGATTGTCACGGGCAAGGACCGAGTAGGACGCAGCCGCCACAAGCAGGGAATGCCCGCCCCACGCAGGGCACGAGCAAGGCGCGAGAAGTAGAATTGGAAATCTAAGAAGCCGAGGGGAAGGTTGAGGACCAGGGACAGGATCAGAGAAAGGAAGGAAGAGAGGAAGATAAGCAGAAAACAAAGCGAATGGAGAAAGGACGGTGCGGAGGCAGAGCGAAGGGGAAGGGATCCACGGAGAGAGGAGGGGCAGGGGAGGAGGGAGAGAGGATGGTGGGGAGTGAGCATCGGTTAACCGATCCCTATCCACACTGGCGTGACCTTCGACCAATGGCCGACTAACCCACCCAGGTGTGGGTATATACCTGTTCCTTCGGATTTCGCAGGGCATACCCCCACCTGGGAGGGTGGGGCGGTGGGGTTGGGATAATGTGGCCAGGTGGGGATGGGGATAGGTTATCTCTACCCCTGAGTTGGCCCCTCTCAATTTTCCGTCGCTCCACCACATGCAAGCGAGAGCAATGGCCTCGAAGGCGTGTCTAAGCGAATCCCGAAACTCCAGCGGACCGAGGCGAATCCCCTGGGGTCCCTCAGAAAACCGCGGCGGACCCCCAAGACCCGCAGAAGCCGCCAGCGGCCCTGAGAGCTTCAGGTGCTGGTGCGACACGACGAAGTTGAGAGAGAAGACCCATCACCCAAGAGCCCTTCCTCAATTAGGGAGCCGCGAAGCCCGGGGGCGGGAGCACAAAACGAATCACGAGGCGGCACGAGAGACAACGGGGAGATGGGAAGCGAGCAGGACCACGAAACAGAAAGCATAGGATGCGAGTGTCTATTTCTACCCCTGCAGTGGCCCCTCTCTTTTTCCGTCGCTCCACCGAAGGTAAGTCAGAGCAGTGGCCTCGAGGTCGTGTCTCGCGGAGTGCCTGGATCCCTGTGGACCCGCACCCCGTGTCATTCTTCTGCCAACGCTTGCCAACCCAAGCGAATCCCGAACCCCCACGGACCGAGGCGAACCCCTCTGGGGCCCTCAAAGAACCGCGGCGGACCCCCAAGACCCAGAGAAGCCGCCAGCGGGCCTGAGAGCTTCAGGCGCTGGTGCGGCACGACGAGGCTGAGAGGACACCAATCAACCAAAAACTCTCCCACGACTCCCTCCCTGGCTTACTTTCGTGGAATACGATGCTTAAGAACGATTATAAAACAGGTTCCGCTTTACTACCGCCGAGTAGTGTCCATCAGAATCCCTATCAACGGCTATTAGCACCTATGTGCGCATTTTCGTGCCGACCAGCGCCTACTAGCGACCACAAATAAGCCGGAATGAACGTTAACCGCCGGGGAAGACAACAACGAATGCTTTAAATGAGCTTCACGCACAACATACCCCAGTCCCACCGTTCGCAAACACACTAATGACATCATACGCTACACACTGGCAAATGAATTCGAATTTGGCCAACTGATCTGGAAAAAAACTGAATATCTGCCACAGCCTGATGCCCTTCGGCAATATCGAGTCGAGTAGTCAGCGCATCTCGCAATCAACCTCCGTCAAGCGTGGCGGGCATATTCCGTGAACGCTTGAAGAAAGAGGTGGCTGCGCCACTCCTCAAACTATGGGCTTGAAAATGGATCGACGGCAGCACAAATGGCGGAAGCTGGGCAAGCATATACGACAGTAATCTGACAACAACGAAAACATCAACAAGGGCGCTGTCTTGCTGGTAAAATCTGAGGCAGCCTTTTGTCACTGACACGAGCACAACCAAACAAGCCCGAGTCCCGTCGAATGCAACCTGACACTGGTAAGCGTCAGAATCTCGGCGGCCCACAAGAATGCTGCGAAGCCTAGCGCCAGCAGCGCCGCCATGTCGTTGCGGCCCCAGCCCCGCGCAGCTGCCGCCATCGCGAACAGCACCACTTCTGGCAGCGACAGGACGCACTGCAGGACTTCCAGGACGCAGTGCAGGAGCCGCCACGAGGCTGCCAGGATTCTCTTCCTGCAGACGAACTGCACTGCGGACAGAGCGTTGCCTGCCAAGCCTTACGCGCGTCCCTGTCCAGGGCCACTCGACCCATTCAGCCACGAACGGGCCTAGCGCGTCTGCGTGATCTGCCGCGCCTGACCATGCGAGGCCACGGGCTGTCACCCATGCAGAAATTTGACGCGCTGCAGTATGGCAAGTGTCGAGCGCGCGCGGCTGCGACAAGCTGTGTGGCAGGCGGCCAGTCACAGCTCTTTGGCTTTGGCGTGTCCATTGGTCCTCGGCTGCCGGCATCCTCCAGCCACCTCGTGTCACCATCGCGGGACTTCTCGGCGACCGTCGCCACCCTGGACGGCTTATCCGCGGGGTTGCGGTCGGTCTCCGTGCAGCCGTAGATAGGGCGAGCAAGGGCGGCGAGGACAAGAGCACCAATGCGTCGAACCAACACGTGCAGCATCGTTGAAGAGGAACGGCCACGGAACGGCCACGGGTCACCACTACCCGGCCAGCTTGTGAATCCACGAGGTGGCAGAAGCGGGTTCGCAGGGGCTGGGACGACCTGAAGCACCAACGAAGGGCGCCCAGCGTGGCCATCACCTCCGGGTCAATGATGCGAGAGGGTGTCCGCCACATCCACACAGCAGTGGCGTTCCACGGCCGTCGCCCGACACTGATGAGACGCCGCGGCCACAGGTCAGGCCGCGCCGCCTCGAACGTGTCCAGGCGAACGCCACTCCCTCTGGACTCCGCTCGCCTGCCCAGCTCCTCCACCACGACGATGGTGGGGTCGGCGCGCGTCGTCTCGGACCCCAGGTCTGACTACCTACCAGACCACCCCAACCCAACCCGAAGACCCGAATTTGACCCGAATTTCGGGTTGGCGGGGGTACGGATACCATGTGTTTTTTCAACGTTCCCCGACCCCCCCCCACTGGAAATCGAGGATAAATTTGGGCCTTCGGGTTGGGTTTGGGTGCTTTGGTGGGTGGTGAAGGTCCCGCTGGCGGACCAGCACGCCCTTCTGCTCGGTCTCGTCGTCGGCGGACACATCGGCGCCTCGACGGTGGCGCCGCCCCCCGTCATGCGCATCTCTGCAGTGGAGGGGGGCGCGCGCGAGGCACCCGGCCTCAACCAACGGCCCAGTGCGCCAGGAGCTAGGCCACCACCCCGCACTGGAAGCTGTAACCCAGCAGCGAGCACCGGCTGTGTTCCAGGCTTGCCCTCTCTGCTGTTTTGCGGGCCCTGGTCACGCGAGCCGTGACGGCGTGGCCAGGAAGGTAGCCAAGCATCAGCTCTCTCTGTCTCTCTCTCTCCAGGCCGGTGGGAGGACGACGATGGCCGCCTGTCTCCCTGATGCAGCTGATGTCCGCGAACCGGCAGGGAGAGCAGCAGTACTCGCAGTGCTGCCCTTTCTGGAGCTCCGCACAGGAGCACCCGCGCGAGCCGCGGGGGTGCTTGCCAGGAGCCCGAAGATGAATACACCGCAGAAAGGTCGGCAGACGAAAGCGTCCATCATCATCACCTTGCCACTTGAAACCAGCAGCAAGCCAGCGAGATGCACGCCCCGCCCGCACCGGTTCCACTCCAGCCTCCGCTGCAGACGGCCCCTGCAACGGGCACAGCATTTTCTCGTCGTTCCAGTAGAGTCGATCGCGGCTGCAGCGGGCGATACCCCCTTCCTCGATGAGAACGGGAGCGCGCCCAAGTGCTCGGACATGTTCTGCGAGGGCTCGGAGTCCATCGACGCGACCTTCTCAAGGAGGCCCAGCATCGTGGACCCCTCGCCGAGTACCTTCTGGAGCAGCTCTCGCGCGCGCCCGATCTGGTAGAAGAGTCGAGCTCGTCGGCCTGCCAGTCCTGGTCGCTCTGCGCTGATGCGGGCCAAGTCGCTGCAGGGGCTGCCTCCGACGGCGAAGATCCGCTTGGCATGTGGGGCCCGCCCGCGAATCGCGATCGTAGCGCCGTCGCCGAAGGCGGTAACATACAAGATGTCTAGAGCTTCTGGCCAGGCGCACAGATCGACAACAAAAGAGTCAGCAAATGCTTCGCTCGGGTGTGACCCCACCTCCCCTCCCTCCTCCCTCTCGGAGCCCACTGTTTCGACGATGTCTCGAGCGAAACAGGCCAGACCACCTCGCGCGCGGCATCTCGGAGCCCAGAGTTTCGAGGATGTCTCATGTGCGACGGGGAAGGCGACCTCTCACGCAGCATCAGGGAGGCAAAAGTTGCGAGGATGTCTCAGGCGAAACGGGCTGGACCACCTCGCGCGCGAACTGTGGGAGCTCAGAGCTGTGAGCACTCTGGTGGCGCCCAGATCCCTCCCAGAGCACAATGCGACAACAGAAGTGTAATCAAATGGTTCGTTTGGGTCTGAGCCCTCCTCCCTCCTCCCGCTCGGAGCCCAGAATTTCGAGGATGCCTCCGGCGAATCGCGCCAGACCACCTCGCGCGCAGCATCTCAGGCGAAACGGGCTGGACCACCTCACGCGCGGCTCATCGGAAATAAGAGTTGCGGGGATGTCTCAGGCGAAACGGGCCGGATCACCTCTCGCGCGGCATCTCGAGCTCAGAATTGCGAGGATGTCTCAGCCGAAACGCGCTGGACCACCTGTCGCGCGGCCTGCGAGGATGGACAGGCGGCGCCCAGACCCCTCCCAGAGCACAATTCGACAACAGAAGTGTAATCAAATGGTTCGTTCAGGTCCGACCCCTCCTCCCTCCTTCTTCCTCTCGGAGCTTAGACTTGCGAGGATGTCTCAGCCGAAACACGCCTGACCACCTCACGCGCAGAATGTCGGAGCCCAGAGTTGCGAGGATATATGGTCCCGGGCTCCAGGCCCACGGGCCCCCCCCCCAGATGGTATGGTCCCAGGATTCCTCGGGCCCCCCACCCCCCCAGATGGTATGGTCCCAGAGACGACGACGATGACGACGACGACGACGACGACGACGACGACGACGACGACGACGACGGCGACGACTACGACGACGACGACGACGACCACGACGACGACCACGACGACGATGACGGCTGCGGCGGCGACGACGCCGGCGGCGGCGGCGACGACGACGATGACGACGATGACGACGGCGACGACGACGACGATGACGACGACGACGACGACTACGACGACGAGGACGACGAGGACGACGAGGACGAGGAGGACGACGACGACGACGACGACGACGACGACGACGACGACGACGACGACGATGACGACGACGGCGACGACGACGACCTCTGAATCACCACAGCACCACACCACATCCACAGGGGGGGGGAGGGGGGCACCGTAGCGCAGCACCACGCCACGCCCACCTCTGAACCACCACAGCACCACACCACATCCACAGGGGGGTGGAGGGGGCACCGCAGCGCAGCACCACGCCACGCCCACAGGGGGGGGCGGGGGGGACCATCGCGCGGGGGGGGGGGCCCAATGGCATCAGGGGGGGGGGGGGGTGGCCCAAGCCCTGGACCACGCCACCTCGCGAATCGGGCCGGACCACCCCGCGCGCGGCATTTTGGAACCCAGACTTTCGAGGATGTCTCAGGCGGAAATCGGCCGGACCACCTGGCGCGCGACATCTCAGAGCTCAGACTTGAGGATGTCTCAGGCGAAACGCACTGGACCACCCCGCGCGCGGCAGCTCGGAGCTGAGAGTTGCGACGATGTCTTAAGCGAAACAGGCCAGACCACCTCGCACGGTGCAACTCGGAGCTCAGAGTTGCAGGGATGTCTCAAGCGAAACGGGCTGGACCACCTCGCGAGCAGCATCTCAGAGCACAGAATTTCGATGATGTTTCTCGCGAAATGAGCCGGACCACCTCGCGCGCGGCTCTTCTGAATTCAGAATGGCGGGGATGTCTAAGGCGAAATGCGCTGGACCACCTCTCGCGCATCATCTCAGAGCCCCGAGATTCGAGGATGTCTCAAGCGAAACGCGCACCGACCACCTCTTGCGCGGCAGCTCGGAGCTCAAAGTTGCGAGGATGTCTCAGGCGAAACGGGTCGGACCACCTCACGCGCGGCTCATCGGAATTAAGAGTTGCGAGGATGTCGCAAGCGAAACGCGCCGGACCACCTCTCGCGCGGCATCTCGGAGCTCAGAGTCGCGAAGATGTCTCAGGCGAAAGGTGCTGGACCACCTCTCGCGCGGCCTGCGAGGACAGACCAGGCGGCGCCCAGACCCCTCCGAGAGCACAACTCACAACAGAAGTGTAATCAAATGGTACGTTTAGGCCTGACCTCTCCTCCTCCCTCCTTCTTCCTCTCGGAGCCCACTGTTTCGACGATGTCTTAGGCGAAACGCGCCAGACCACCTCGCGCGCAGCATGTCGGAGCCCAGAGTTGCGAGGATACATCTCAAGCGAAACGTGCCACGCCACCTCGCGCGCAGCATGTCGGAGCCCAGAGATGCGCGGACGCCTCAGGCAAACTGTGCTGGACCACGTCGCGCGCGGCAACTCGTAGCTCAGAGTTGCAAGGATATCTCAAGCGAAACGCGCCAGACCACCTCGCGCGCAGCGTGTCGGAGCCCAGAGGTTCGAAGATGTCAAAAGAAACTCGCTGGACCACCTCTCGCGCGGCATCTGGGAATGCGGAGCTGCAGGGATGTCTCAAGCAAAACGGGCTGGGCCGCCTCGCGAGCAGCATCTCAGAGCCCAGAGTTTCGAGGATGTCTCTGGCAAAAATTGACCAGACCACCTCTCGCGCGGCATGTTCGAGTTCAGAATTGCAAGGGTGTCTCAAGCAAAATTGGTCGGACCAAATCGCGCGGCATCTACGAGCTCAGAGTTGCGAGGATGTCTCATGCAAAACGGGCTGGACCACCTCTCGCGTGGCATCTCAGAGCTTAGAGAAGTGAGGATGTCTCAAGCAAACGCACTGGACCACTTCGCCCACGGCAGCTCGGAGCTCAGAAATGCGAGCATGCCTCAGGCGAAACAGGCCGGACCACCTCTCGCACGGCATCCAGGAGCTTAGACTTCGGAGGATGTCTCAGGCGAAACGGACCAGACCACCTCTCGCGCGGCTTCTGGGAGCTCAGAATTGCGAGGATGTCTCGGCCGCAACGGGCCAGACCACCTCGCGCGCGGCATCTCGGAGCCCAGAGTTTCGAGCATGTCTCAGGCGAAACGCCCAACCCTGGCCAACTCAAAAACGAGAGGTGTGAGGATGTCTCAGGCGAAACGGCATGGACCACCGAAAATTTCTTGAGCATGCCTCTACGCGCCCGTCCCTCGACCGGAACAGATCATGAACACAACAGCACCCCGTGCGGCAAGCTGTTTGGAGAAGAAGCTCCGAGACGACGGCGGCGGCGGCCGCGGTGGCGATGACGGCACCAAGTTTCCAAGGGCTCCCAACTTCGCGCTTCGCGCTGCGCGAAGCGCGAAGTGCGAATAACTTCGCGCTCTCGCGCCGCCTCCCAGGAGAGAAGAGGAGGATGAGGAATCGAAGCCGAAGCGCGAAGCGCGAAGAACTTCGCGCCCTCGAGGGCGCCCTTGAAGTTTCGCCCTTGGGGCGGCTCTGGCGCAGGGGCGGCGGCCGCGACGCGTCCGAGGCGCCGACGCCCTGGCGGCGGCGTCAGCGCGGCGCTGCGTCTCCTCTCCAGGGGGGAGGGGTGGGCCGCCAGGCACCCGTCGTCGACACAAGCGCCTCGTCCCTCCCTCCACTTGTCCTCCTCCTCCTCCTCCTCCTCCTCCTCCTCCTCCTCCTCCTCCTCCTCCTCCTCCTCCTCCTCCTCTCCCCTCCGACTTTCCTCAGTCCCTCCCTCCACTCCTCCTCCTCCTATCCTCCTTCCTCCTCCTCACTCCTCCTCCTCCTTCTCTCCTCCCCTCCTCCCTCCCTCCTCCCGCCTCCTCTCCTCCTCCTCTCTCCTCCTCCTCCTCTCCCTCTCCTCCTCCTCCTCCTCCTCTTCCTCCTCCTCCTCCTCCTCCTCCTCCTCCTCCTCCTCCTCCTCCTCCTCCTCCTCCTCCTCCTCCTCCTCCTCCTCCTCCTCCTGGCCCGGCGCGCGGCGAGGCGGCCGGGCGCTCGCCTCGATGCGCTGCGAGAGGCTCTTGAGCCTGGCGCCGCGGCGTGGAGGGAGCGGAGGAGGAAGCGCCGAGGCCGCCCTCCCAAGGAGCCCAGAATCCCCCTCGGGCAATGAAAAACTCATGAGGGGAGGTTTTTTGCTATCTTCGGCATCATGACGGGAGGTTTTCTGCTATTTTCGGCCTCTGGAGGCCCTTCCCGGCCCTCGGGGCCGTCAAAAAACGGCTCAGGATGAAGAACCGGTCCAGGGGAATGGGTCGAGACCTCCAGGGGTCGACGCAATGAAAAGATCATGACGTCGGGGGTCTGGGAGGAGGGAGGAGGAGGGAGGAGGGAGGAGGAGAAGGAGGCAGGAGGGAGAAGGGAGGAGAGAGGACAGACGAAGAGGGGCGAGAGGGATCGAGGAGGACGAGAGGACGAGGCAGGCGCTGTTCGCACCGCAGAGGCACGGAGGAGCGCCCGCCCAGGACACGCCCGGACGCCCCTCCTGGGAGCCTCCGAGGACCGCCTGGGCGGGAGCTGGCCGACTCGTGCGCCGGCGAGGTTGGAGCATCGCGGACCCAGGACCGAATGTTCTGGAGCGTCGTCCCTCTCGTGGCGCGCCGCCTACGAGCAGAGGGTCATATCCTGCGTTCCTCGCTGCTGCATCTAGTTGGGTCCTTCGCCACGTTGAGAACTGGCGCTTTGGGCACCCATTGGCTGGCCCTTCTTTGGCCCGTGGGAACCTCTGGGG